CCAGTCAAATAATGTGTGACCCTTTCCTCTAGGGTCACTATGAGTTAGAACAGACTTAAAGGCACTTAACAACAACAGCTCTCTAGTTACATATTTTATACACTGTTCTGTATCCATCAGATTTTCAAAAGGGTGTCAGCCTCAGAAAGGGGAAATAACTTTCATTCCTGAGTCTCCATGGGCCATCAGTATATTCCAGTCCCTATGAAGACTGTTACGTTTGTGAAGGTCTTCTGAAATGTGTAGAATTCTATTTCCCAAGGTATCAAAGGGCAATAGGCAAGTCAGCTGCAAAAAAGAACTTGTCCTCCTCAGGAAGCCAACATCAGAACCAGCTCCAATTAGTCTTAGAACAAATCAAGGCTTTGAGGTAATGCATTCATTTGCCTTTTATTCCAAATCTTGTCTCTCTGCACTGATTGAGTATCTGGGTCTTTTTTTTTTCCTTATCAGAAGTCACCTGTAATTGTAAGTCTGAGACATTTAGTGCTCCGTGATTTGGGGGGGATGAGGTGGAGTAGATTCCCTGCATTCCTCGTTTAAATATAATTTCTAATACTTGGTGGTGAGGTGGGGAAAGAGGGAGAGATGTGTGCTCGAACTAAAGCAGTAGAATCATTTTTGCTCCTCACTTACAAGAGCACAGCAGAATAGTAATAACTGTCCTTGTTAATTTGCTACATAGGCTCTTTAATGCACACTTAGATTTAAAGACCTTACATTTTACTTTCCAGGGAATTTTAGGGACTTCACGCTACTTGTGGGATCGATCCCAGGGTTGGACTTACTGAATGGGTTGACTTCACTGAATGGGTTGAATATCTTAGTACTGAACCAACTGTGGCTAAAATGCGGTACTCTTAATGAACCTCTAACTCTTAAAAGATTTAGTAAAAATGCAAAAATTGTAATTATCCAACACATTACTTCAAAAATAATTATCAAATGTGGTTTAGTACTAATCCAAATATATGGGAGTAAAATCTCATTCAGTGCTTTTTCGTGTATTAGCATGCATAATTTCATTTTATACCCATGTTATCTCTGTGAAAAGTATACCATTATTCCAATAGTGATAATAAAACCCTAAAAACATCTGTGTGCCACTGAGGATTAATGCGCCAGACTGCAAAGCTGATTTAACTGCAAAGTCAGCAGTTCAAGCTCACCAGCTGCTCCTCGGAAACCCAATAAAGTGTCAGTATGGACTAGACAGCACTTAACAACAACAATTTAAGAGAATAATTTAAATCTTAGTCCTGAGGCCTCATGTGGCTCTGTAGGATAAGCACTCTTCTGTGACTTTGCAGGATAATTATAAGGTCTGCAGTTCAAACCCACCAGCCACTCCCAGAAGGCCTATGCAGTGTTGCTGAGTCAGCAGTAAGTCCATGGTTCACAATGAAAGTTAGCATAATTCCCTCAGTAAATGGATCACTCTTCTATTTCCTGCTTTGAAAGCATTAAATTCTTCCTGGTTACTCATACGTTTAATTGCATCAACCTTAGTTGTGTTTCTTGCACTATATCATTAATGAAAACTGTTGGCACTGTGGATTAGGCTATCGGTTGCTAATCACAAGGTCAACAGTTCAAATCACCAGCTGCTATGAGACTTTCTGCTCCAATTAAGAATTACAATCTTGGAATCAACTTGATGGCAGTGGATTTGATTTTGTTGGTGTTAATGACATAGCATGCATTTTAAGTCTCCCAATTGCCTACAGAAGTTTTTGGGTTTTTTTTTTCACTGAGCTTTATAAGGCACTTTGCAATCTAATCCTAACCCAAATCTATTTCTCTACCATCATAATCTTCAACCTTTCATTCTGTAATCCCGTTAAATTCAGATTGATCTTCTTTCCAAACTTCCTTTCCTTAACTTCCCTAATTTTATTCTGTTACTCATAGTATATTATAAATATATATAAACATATATATATACGCTATGTGTCAGAACTGACTCTACGACACATAACAACATATATACATATATGGATGTAAACATATATATGTGCTGTTCTTCTTGTTAGTTGTGATCAAGTAATTTCTGACTCACAGTGACCCTATACAAAACAGACTGAAACATGGCCAGTCATGCACCATCCTTAAAATTGCTGTCAGTTTGAGCCCTTTTTACCAGCCACTATGTCAGTCCATCTTGTTGGGGTCTTCCTCTTTTTCGATGACCGTCCACTTTAACAACTGTAATATCCTTTTCCAGGGATGATGGCTCCTAATAACATATCCAATAGGTGAGAGATAAAGTCTTGGCACCCCGACTTCTAAGCAGCATTCTAGCTGTATTTCTTCCAATACAGACTTGTTTGTTATTCTGGAAGTCCATGGTACTTTTCAGTATTCTTTGCAAACATCATAATGCAAATGTATCAATTCTTCTATGGTCTTCCTTAATAATAGTTCAATTTTACATGTATATGAGCTAATTGAAAATACTATAGCTTGGGTCAGTTATACCTTAGTCCTCAAACTGATATTTTTGCTTTTGAACAGTTTAAAGTAGTCGTGGGAAGTAGATTTGCTTAATGTAATTTGATGTCATTTGACTTCTTGTCTGCCGCTTCCATAAATGTTGACAGTGAATCCAAGCACAATGACAATTTCAACATGTTCTCTATTTATCATGATGCGATTTATTGTTCTACCTGTGAGAATCTCTTTTTTTGTAATATATGCTGAAATGCAATTCATACTGAAGACTGAAGACGTTGATCTTTATCAGTAAGTATTTCAAATCCTCTTAGCTTTTAGCAAACAATGTTGTATAGTTTGTATGTCAAAGATTATTAATGAGTCTTATTCCCATTCGGATGCTATCTTCCTCTATATATAATCCAGTTTCTCAGATTATTTGCTCAGTGTACAGATTGAATAAGTATGGTCAAAGGCTACAACCCTGGTATGCATCTTTCCTGATTTTATGCCATTCGTTACCACTTTGTTCTCTTCTAACAAATGCTTCTTGTTTTGTATACAGGGTCTTCATGAGCATAATTAAGTATTTTGGGATACTCATTCTTTGCAATGTTATCCATAGTTTCTCATGGTTCAAACAGGTGAAATCCTTTGCATAGTCAATAAAGCATAATTAAACATCTTTGAGATAGCCTACGCATTCAGCCATGATCCATCTGATGTCAACAATGACATTACCAGTTTCATGTCCTCTTTTGAATCTTGTTTGTATTGCTGGCATTTCCTTATTGATGTAAAGTTGCAAATGATTTTAATTCTTGAGGAAAACATTGTTCAATAATTTCCTCATTCCACTGGGTCACCTCTCATTGAGAAGAGCATAAATATGGATCTATTCCAATCAGTGTTACAGATAGCGGTCTTCCAAATTTCCTGGCATAGATGAATGAGTGTCTCCAGTGCTACATCTGCTTGTTGAAATATTTCAGTTTGTATTCCATCAATTCCTGGAGCCTTTTTCTCCCAATGCCTTCAGAGATGCTGGACTTCTTCCCTTAGTACCATCTGTTTTTGACTAACTACTACCTTTTGAAATGGTTGAATATTGACCATTTCTTTTTGGTACAGGAACATGTGGGACTCTGTGAATTCCTTATATTGTCTTTGAATGCTTTCTGTGCATCATGTAATATTTTGCCCATAGAATTCTTCAATATTGCAACCTGAAGATTGAAAATTTTTTTAATCTTCAGAAATGCTGAGTGTGCTCTTCCCTTTTGTTTTTTCAATTCAGGTGCTTACATATTTCATTATATTACTTGACTTTTTCTTCTTGAGCTACCTTCTGAAATTTTCTTTTTAGCTCTTACACATCTTCATTTCTTCCATTGGTGTTAACTTCTCTATGGTCCTGGTATGGCGCTATAACATAAACAGTGGACTGTCAACCATAAGCTTGATAGTTCAAACCCACCAGTCACTCCATAGAAACCCTATACAGCGTCACTCTGAGTTAGAATTTACTCGACAGCACTTAACAATAAGAAAACTAGAAAGTAAGTTTCAGAAACTGTTCTGACATTCATTTTGACCTTTGCTTTCTTTCATGTGTTTTTAATGTACTTTTACTGTCTTCCTGTATGATATTCTAGATATCATCCCACAACTCTTCTGCTCTTTGGTTATTAGTATCTAATGCATCAAATCTGTTCTTGAGATGGCTTCTAAACTCAGGTTGGATATATGTGAAATCATACTTTGGCTCTTGAGAACTTGATTTCATTTTCCTTACCTTCAGCCTGAACTTGTATATTAACAATTGGCGATCTGTTCCACAATACACCTGGTCTTATTTTTTGCTCTGATATTGAGTTTTCTACCATCTCTTCTAGTAACTATAGTTCATTTGATTCCTGTGCATTCCTTCTGGTGAAATCTAGGTGTATATTTGCCTTTTATGCTACTGGAAAAGGTATGTCTAATCAATAAGTCTTTGGTCTTGAAAAATTCTATCATGGCCTCCCCAGCATTTCTATCACCAACGTCTTATTTTCCAACTGATCCTTCCTCTGTGTTTCCAACCTTTGCATTCCAATTACCAGTAATTATCAATACATCTTGCTTGCATGTTTGACCAATTTCAAACTGATAAGTAAGTAGAATTCTTCAATTTCATCATCACAAGCTTTAGTGTTTGGTGTATAAATATGAGCAAT